ATAGGCAGTGTAGGAGGAGAGTCATGTTAGTTTACAATAGCTACAAAATTTATAGTACTTAGAGAGGGCTGAAAGCCCTATGAAGCGGTATATAAGTCTAACTGCTATTGCTATTGCTACTGCTATAGCTCTGAAAAGCTTGTGCCTTTTAATAACGTTAGTCAGAAGAGGGACTATTAACCTCTTTCTAAGTACTATAAATTTTGTAGCTATTGTAAACTAACATGACTCTCCTCCTACACTGCCTATGATACAGTGTTAGTGAATTCATTTTCTGCTGCTCCTGTTTTTTTAAACAAAACTTATAATGCAACCCATAAAATTCTGATCATCATAAACGCTGGGATTATGGTATGCAGATGAATTCAGGAATGACCCAATGGTCCTCGTTCCCATGCACGGAGATCGTTCTGACAGCTTTCCATTCCCAACTTACCTAGAGTTGACCAGCCAAACATTGTTATTACGACTAAAAGACGCACAATGAAACCGGCGGTCCCACTGTTCGCTAGCAGTATAAGCCTGCAGACCAAAAGAGCCACGGTGAGTGGCAGGATGCAATAGCCCAGGACACAAAGGCTCTGGAAGAAAGATCTGGGCGAAAAAGAGAGAAGTCCTGGTAAAGGATAATGTACAGAGAAGAGAGAGACAAAGAGAATTATAGAACTACCGCAAGACAAAAGGGGGCCTAAGCCGTCTGCTATCCACCCGCCTGTCATTAAAAGATTTTAGAAAGCTTTCACAAAACCAATTGTTTTTAGCTTTCTCCTTGATGAGCAAGCTAGTAGCAGGAAAATAACATGTTTAAAATTATAATGTTTAAAGGCTGTTTTAAAAATTAAGATATTTAAATAAACATAACATGGGCTGCTTAAAAGCACTCTGCACTTTGGTTAGCAGGGCAGGATCCTTAGGCCACAGAGATGCCCCAACTTCTATGTCTTGGGCCTCCAGAGTCCCTGTTCTCAAGAGCATGCTACCGATCTGTTGCTCTTTTAAATAACAATAGTGTTATTTGCTTTCAATAAAGCCCAAACAGCAATTTAAGGCTTCAAGATAAAAATTCTGAATAAAACAGTCTACTTTTCAAGACCAGAAATTGCCCCAATCTGGTATGCCTTTATCATCCTCAGGCAAACTCTGCCTGTCCCTGAATTGAATTTGAATTGATTAGGTTTAAAGCAATTCTCATCTGGAGAATCGCCAAGGAAGTCAAACTCTTTCCCCACCCCAGAAAACAGCTCTCCTGGTCACTTACATGGTTCCTCCCAGGAGCTTGGAATTTAGTGTTATGACAACTGCTCCAAACCAGATGATAACAAAGACTTCTGCAAACTGAGGCCCTCTGTCCTCTGTGCTATCTGCCGCTCCTCCTTGAAGCATTCTAGAGAAGAGAAATGGATTAGGAGAAAGAAGCAGGCACCTCTTTTCCGATTTATTTATCAGACAATCATTTAAAGGAAATAAATCTTTATTTACTGTTCTGCCACTCTTTTATTTCTCTTTATGATGGTCTGAGTATCCTTCTCAGACAAGAAATGTGGGACAGAAATATTGAATAAAAAATATGGCATAAGCAGCCTTTAGCATCCCATCCCTTGGCCTAAGGCACAGAAGCAGCTTCCAAATTGGTGGGGTAGGTTTATAAAGGAAAGTTGGGTTGTAAGATCTGTAATTACCGTATTTTTGGGAGTATAAGGCACAGCAAGGTTTTGAAGAGGAAAATTAATTTTTTTTTGCACTCTGCAATCCTCCCCAAAAACTTTTTTTTTTAAATAAAAGGCATAAATAGCCTTTAGGCAGCTTGTAGTGTGCTCGGGGGGGGGGGGGGGGGGGGGGGG